TGAGAACAACAATAGTCTAGGATCTGGTTTGGCTAAAGTATATTTATAGTACTCTAATTTTAAAGTTGTATACATTTAATTTTAATTATTACAGATTTTCAAAGGATAATGTGTATAAACCACAGTCTCCTAAAACGTATCCTCCACTGTTTTTCACTATGTATTGCAGTCCCAAATGGAAGCCCAATTTCTGCAGACATTGAGGATTCTTCTGAAGAAAATGAGATTGCTGTCTAAAGACAGGCAGAGATAAGAAGGGTGCTTGCATCTGTGTTTTCCTGTTTTGGAATTGTAATTAAATCTGTTTGAAAAAGCTATTTCTAATGACGCTTTTAAAAGCAGAGAACATCGGATAAAAAAATTAAAACAATTCAAGAGGCACTGCAGAGTGGCAATGAGAAAAATCTGAGTTTTTTGATCAAATACAATTGGGGTGTAGATGCTCTTAAAGCTTGTTTAAAAATGGTTTTCATAAGACTTCAGTCACACTGGGAGGATCAGTGTGAATGCCTTACAACTTGAAAAGAATTACTCGGAATGACCAAAGAAAATCTAGTGCTCTACGTATTTATTTTTTCTGTTGTCTAAAGGCAATGCCAAATAAATGTTTTTGTGATTTGAAGTAAGATTGGTTCAGTTTGCAAAGTATGTGTTTATATTTGAAAAATATACTAAGCAGCTAAAAATAATTTATTAATACATATTTTAAATTGCTTTTAAATATTTATTTAAATAATAGTAGCTGAGAATTTATTATGAATTAATCCCTCATCCAATGCAGTGTTGTCTGTTTTGATTGAAGTAAACTATCAGATTTATTTTTCTAAAGCAGTATGGTTTCCTAAACTGCCAACACTTCTCAAATAGTTATAGACTATATTGTTACATCTAAGCAAGTTCAAAAAATTGTTGGAAAAGCCATTTAATTCTTGCCCAATTATAGTTTCCAATTCACGAATGAGTATTAAAGGTAGGATTATAGAGTGTCAGATTTTTGGGGGAATATATTCTGTTTATATACTGCATGTATTATCTTATGCATAAGTAAGCTTGTGACATATTCTTGTTTTGCTAAGGTTTTAATCAATCCATTGTGAAAATACAGCATTGTAAAAAGAGAAATAACATTTGTTTTACACTAAGTATTTTCAGGGTTTACAATGGGATGAACAGTATTAGCTGTTGTAAAATTAATAACTAATGTATTTAGTCATAATTCGCTATTTTTTGTGCTCTAGTTCATTCATTAAAATTTGTAAAACGGATACTGTCAGAAATCTTGGATTATTTTTTTTTATTTTCATTTGCTCAAGGGAAAATGAGCAAAACACTTAAATGGTAAGATTTTGTCCATGTGGAAATACAAACTGTAGAAAAAAATGTTTGTTAAATGGGGTTAACAAGTTAGCATTTTCTTTATTTGTAAAACAGATGCAAAAAATGTAATTACTGGTACAACATTCATGTTATTAGTTTATTTTAATTTAATATAGTTAAAGAATTGAGAATTTCCATTCAAGAACAGCCTTCTTTCAAGACAGAAATTCATAGAAAATTAAGAATATTTGCAAAGTGGATACATCATGCAATCCAGATTTTTAAATGTACTGAAGATTGACATATATTTTGAAAATTGTTACTCAAAACACATGCATATTTTAGCAGAATTCATATAACATTTAAACTGTTCAAAAAAGGTTCTGTTCTTTGAAGTTATACTGTGGTTTTTAGCTTAAGAACCTGTCTTTTCACAGGAATTTGATTCTTTTTCTGGATAAAACAAAGTAAATGTACATCAGTAAAGAATCACAAGAACTGCTTAACTAGTGCATACACATTTACAGATTACATTCATTATAAACCTTGCATATAGATGAATAATTTGCTTATAGATGCTTTTAAGAGAATCTTTAAATTGTTTTAGACATAAACAAAGCTCTTGAACTGCTGTAATAGCCAAGGTCTTTGTTACTTTTTGTTTCTGGAATTAGTTCATTTAAACGTTATTTGTCTTACCCATTCAATGTTCTTCTTGTTGTTATCAAAAACAGGTTAAAAGACTTTTTTTTATATATTTTGTTCTGGTTAACTTTGCATTTCTGCAAATAAATATTGGAGACAATAAAACTGCAGTTCTGTCTTTTCTGGAATATTATGTTGTGTTGTCTGAGAACAACAATAGTCTAGGATCTGGTTTGGCTGAAGCTTACAGATGGAACACAAGGTGGCAGTATTGGTAATAAGGCAAATAAAATGTCTCTCCTAATCTGGTAGTAGTATCTATCTGTATATGTATAGCATTACTCCTCTGGCAGTGAGAACTAAGGCAACCTATTGGCTTAGACCAGGAAACATCCCTCCTGGAGAATCCTGCTGTGCGGAAGAGAATTGACAGTCTCATCACATTTTCCCAGCTGTGATTGGCCCAGTGGTTCGAACCATGACAGCCTGTCTGTCGTGTTTGGTCAGGGCTTGCAGATACTGTAAGTCTACTTATAACACCACATCATAAACAGCTGTGTTTCTGTAAACAAAGAGATTGAACCTATCAGGTAAATATTACAGTATTCCCAAAAGTACCATATCCTGGTTGTATCTCAAATCAAATCAAAGTTTATTTATCAAGTGCACAACAATACAGTGTGCAGCAGTAGTTGCTGGCAATGAAATGTCTTAATAAAGAAATAGACAAGGACGAATGGGAGCTCGCAGGACGGCAGCCTTCCCTGTCGGCGCCATCTGCATTATCCATGACCCACAGTGGAATTTAGCTAGAACATTATGATTAACAGCCCTACTTGTTTGAACATTATGATGGGATTTTAAAAGCCAAGCAGTCAGGGCCTCAAGCAGTTACTGTCTCTTCTGAAGTCAGGTATTCCCTGTGCAGTGTCCCCTGTCACCAGAGTAAGGCATTGGTTTGGAAATTCTGCACCGGGGAAAGTGCGCCCCCTATTGCCCTCCATTTCGATAAGCAACCTGGTTTTCCTTAGCATTCTGCCGTCTCTCTGACCAGGCTGTTTTGCTTAACCCATGTGCCTTCCTTGAGCTAGAGAATCACCCTATTTACAACTCAGAAATATTTTCTGTCCTCTATATTTTCCGTTAGCTTCAGCACGTATTGCAATCAAGAAAAGGGATGGTAGAATACACGTATTTTTTATGAGCGTTTCTGTCGTCAAATAGTATTTTAACATTGTACAACAGAACAGCACAAATGTTACTGTACATGTAAGAGAGGCTCTTTTCAGCAGTGCGCCATCCAAGAACGTTATTATAGGTAAAATGATTCTTCTTCGTATTAAATACGAACACTTTTCTCACACACCATACAAATTCCAAATACCCACAATGCAATTATAGGTCGTTCTCAATTATTCATTGTTATCAATGGCCAGAGAGAAATCAAATGGTTTCTGCACTTAATGAAAGAGGAGCATTTGTGTCTGTGTTATGACCACTTCCTTGGTTAAATCGTGCTGTTCTTTCAATTCGTATTCACATTTATTAAGACGCAATACCTGCCTTGCAATCCAAAGCTGAGCTGATCAAATAAAAAACAACAACTTTGAAACAATTTGCCAGTTTTAATTTTAGTCCGTAATGATGCACTCTCGGGTGAGATTAGTGTTTACCATGCAATTAATTCCTTGAATCCGCTGTACTTACCTTCGTCCCATTCAACTACTTTACTGTATATGTAGGTCCAGCAAAATCTGGAACGCTAAAGTTAATGTTTGTTTTTATATTTGTTTGAACGGCATGCTTAAAAAAGCACTAGATGTTCATGTCTTTAACAGTGAATGTCGGCTATTGAGTGTCCTTGGGGTCGTGGAAAGAAAGGGTTAAATTTCATGTCAAGACAAGTGACGTCCAACATTATTTGGGGTGTAGACAGTACACTCATTAAAAGCAAAGACAGAAATAAGAGGTAAAATGAGGAGGCGGTTAGCACAGGTAAACCTGCGTGTACATTTCTCGGGTTGGTTTAATTACCATGGGATGTCAAAGGAGCAGCGTTGTAGTGTGAGCTGGTGAACATCTTGGACACAGATCGAGTAGGACTACAGCGCGTTGTTTTTAACGGCTTTAACATAATTTTGGAATGAAAATGAATAGGGTGCAAAGTTGATACAAAATACAACGAAAATGAGTAAAAAGTAAAAAAAAGTTCAACAGGTGAATCTGGTACCGAAGTACGTCTTCTTTTTTTAAAACAAATCTTTCCCTGAAGTACATGTGACACATTTCTGTGTAGCGGAAAGGTACCGATTATAGATGTCCAAAGGGTTGAAAACACAGCAGGAATCGAAAAGGCTCGATTTGCTCACACCGGAGTGCGATGAAGACATCGATGTAGAAAGTGTGGATGGGTGTCTGTCCCCGGGAGGCTCGGAGGAACTCGGCGTCGGCCAAGAGCGAGGGGCGAGGCCGGTGTCCGAGCTGCAGCAGCGCGGCCAGACGCGCAGCCCCAAGTGTGCGCGTTGCAGGAACCATGGCGTGGTGTCCTGCCTCAAAGGCCACAAGCGGTTCTGTCGCTGGCGGGACTGCAGGTGTACCAACTGCTTGCTCGTCGTGGAGCGACAGCGGGTGATGGCAGCGCAGGTGGCCCTAAGGAGACAGCAAGCCACGGAGGTGGGTGCCCTCTTTATTTAATACTAAAATTAGGTTCATTTTCTCTCGGGTGAAACCGTGCCACTGACGCTACGTATTCAAACGAGTTAAAATACACGTTGAAATAGCAGTACAAAAGATTAATTTTCATTTTACCGTAAACTTGTTGAAGTGATCAGCAGTAATGTTACATGCTTAAACTAAAGAGATATTTGATGTGGTAAAAATAATTTCCTTTAAAATTTCTAAATATTTTTATATATCGTCATAATATTTAATATAATATATAAATATTTATATTTACAGTATACAAGTATATAAATAATGCATTAAGACTGGATAAATGTATACAGTTTACAGCCTCATGCTTCTGCACATATAAGCGTGCAAACTGCATGATTCTGATGGTGAATTATATATCGGAGGCAGACAACAACTGCTGTCCGCCGATACTGCAATGTATCTTGAGTTGGTTAGCAGTTCGATTTCAATCCATGTCGTGCTGTGCGCTCTCAATTTCCAAGGTTTTGTTGCTTCGATTGCGTGCAGTGTGAGTACACTGTACAGTATGTCCAAAAAGGTGTATTATTGTCGAGCGAAATCATTGTTTTTGTTTTAAACCGTTACTGGAATATCATCTCAGTGACAGAAAACACTGAAAAACGGTAATCCCTGGCTGTTTTGTATTTTAATTAAATTAAGGTAAGAATCCAATTTTATCTCGGATGTTTTTTTCAGGTTAAGAAAGATGCCAATGGAATCGCAGTCTCAGGAGGAGTCAAAATCAGAAGACCTCCCTACCACCGCTACACGAGGGAGCCTAGTCTTCTAGCAAAAAGTATTCTGGAAGGTATAGCTTTGTAAAATGTGTTTATAATGTGACATTTAGGATAGGACAGTTATGTTTTTGTGTTTTAAAATGAGTACAATACATTTAAGAGTGCTTAATTTAAAAGCTGTCAACTGCTAATTGTAAACAAAATTAAGATAATAGATATTCCAAACAGAGTACCTGGTCAGCTGTATTAAGAAGTTTAGGAAGCTATCTATGATGTGGGGAACTTAATTCTTTTTATTTTACCAGATGGGAAATTTGCTGTACAGGCAGGTAAAAGCCAAAACACAATACACAATACATTTAACACAACATGAACCCCTTCAACAAATAAGAAACGTGTATGATGAGAAAAAATATATAAAGTAAAATACATATTCAATTGTAGAAGTTAAGCAGGTTAATAGCTGTGGGAATAAATTATGACTTAGTTCTGTTGCACTTGAGTCTGGGTAATTTACTGTAAATCAACAGCCAAATGGAAGGAGCTCGAATTCACTGTGCAAGTGGTGGTCATGACAGTCAATGATTATATTGGTTTTGCGAACTATTAATGTTTAGATGTCTGTTAGCTGTAGGTGTCGTCCACCAATAATTTTGCTGGCTGTCTTGCTCAGTCTGTTCTTATTGTGTGATTTAAGGTTACCAACCCCGGCTACCTTGGTAAATGTTAGGACAGATTCAATAAAAGTGATTGGGAATATCAACCACATTGTGCTGTTTGTAGATGAAAGAATTCATTGTACATTATTTTGTACTTAACCCTTTTTTTCTGTTTAGTACAAGTGATAATTCTGACAGCATATTCATTATCCTCATGCTAAATCAGGCTTATGACATTTAACTTATATTGACCTATATACAGTATACACAACATAGTACCTGTGTTTGTATGTATAAAGGTCTAAAGTGTTCTTTTGAAATGTGTTGGACATTAGATTTTCCTTGCTGTTAGTCCCATGTTTATGTATTTACAGCTTTATTTTTAATGATATAATATTAAAATATCTTTGTTTTTCAAAAATTGTTACTCGGGTTTTCCAAGGGCAAACCTACTCAAAGTTAAATCTAGGCCTCCAGATGAAGGTTGGAATAAAACATGAACCTGCTCGTTCCCTTCAGGATACAAGCCTGCTGTTTTAGAAGACTCCGTGTGGGCAAAGACGACGCCCTACCCCGCCCTGAGCGAAAGGATGAGGAAGAGACGGGCTTTTGCAGATAAGGAGCTGGAGGGCATCATGTTAGAAAGAGAAGTCAGGCAAAAAGAACTGGAAGACCTGTCTGGACTGAAAATGCTTGGACCTCTGTTGCCAGGTCCTGTAACCAGGTGCTGCACATTTCAAGGGCCAATAGAAGACGCTTACTTGCCTTTTCTGAAAACCAGTCCCATACTACTGGAGTGTGGGTTGCAGTGCTGCTTAGCCCAAGAGCTGGTGTTGTCCGGGTCAGAGCAGTGCCATAACGAACATCCACCACTCCAGGACAACAGGCTGCTGATGGAGCCTGTGGATGTGCCCGGAATAAAGGATCTGGGACGTTTGGAAAGCTGCAGGGAAAGCCTGACCTACTGCGGGACTCTACAGCCTTCACCTCGCGCTTTGCAAAACCCGTGTCCATCGGAGCGCGCCGCTCCAGTGCGTCAGAACAGCACCGATGTCACCTTCCAGCTCCAGCTCCCATGTCGACGGGTCACATGCGTGTCACCTCCGAGCCTCGAGGGCGCCGAGTCCGAACCATGGGGAGGCAGTCGTGAAGACTGTAAGAATTCCAGGTGCTACGGATTCACAGTTCAACCCCTCAAAGAAACAAGTGTCTGCAGTGTCAGCCAGGAACAAAACGACACGAAAAAGCCGCCATTCCAGGGAGTAAGAACATTGCCTTTTTCGGTAGAATCACTGCTGAGGAGTTAAAAGGAATCTAAAGCCATACAAGACAATTCAGTCATGTACTGTATGCAGTTTCCTCAGTGTTAAGCGTCAAAGAGCAAATTAGTTTCTGTCTAATTTTAAAACCAAGTTCCAGAGGAATGGGGCAACCCCTATATGGTATCATAAATTAGTAAAAACAGTAATTATAGCATAGCACAATGCAATAATGGTAATAACCTGATAAAACAGAAAGTCAAAGGTAATGCATTGCACAAACTCTGGGAGAACATGGGCAAAGAAAAGTAAAATGTGTGGTGTAAAAACACCAGGTTATACTTCAGTTATACTGAGATTGATTGATTGAGATAAGCAATCCTAAGGAACAGCATCATAGCATGTCCAAACAACACCAAAGGGAAACTAGAACAACTTTTCTGAGTTAACAGTTCTTTATGTCTGGGAAAAAAAGGCAAAATGAAAAGAGTTTGACGAAAAAGTGTTCCCAGTTCCAAAGTGAACAGATAAACTGGTCAGTGTAATCCACAAGGAGGCAGAACATAAGAAGTCAAAAATAAGAGGCCATTCAACCAAATAGTTAACTGATCCAAGGATCTCACAAAGCTGTCTCTCCAAAGAAACCACGGCCTCAACATCACGGCTGGGTAGCTTATTCTAGACTCCTACAACCCATTGTGTAAAGAAGAGCCCCCTTATCTGAAATTACATCCTAAAGAGGAGTTCTTTGATAAAGCCATCTTGTGTTCTGTTTACAGAAAATAGCCTCTGCCGTAAGTTCTCAGTGTTCCGGAACATTTTATGCATAATAACATTTGTTACTACACACAGTACAGTATCTAACAGTCAAGAGCCAGGGACATATACAATCAATTTTAAAGGCAAATGAAAGATAAAATGTATTGATGTGCTTGTGTGGTACAGTAGTTTACCAACAATGTGGAGAAGTGTGTATTTTCATTAGAGCTTCTGCTCCTTCATGACTTGTTTTGATGAAGAAGCAAATATTTTGCTTTTACTGATTCATATTTTGAAGAATATCTCAGGGATTATAGATCTACAAGAATCATATGGACCCACCCTGTATATCACGGGCCTGCTATGAACATCTCAACTTTGAAACCAGTCCTGGACTCATAAATACTTGAAAACAATTCACAACTGGTGTGAAACCCTTAATTAATAAAGTTAACTCATGAATATATTCCACCTCTAATATCTTATATGTTTAAAAGTCCTTTTTTTAATGTCAGTATTTTTATATATTAAAGATAATAAGGATATTCTGATGCTTTTTATTTTTGATATACTTTGATATACTATACCGTTAAGTTTGCCAAATAAAATAAAACATAAGTAATGGGTACAATACCAGATGTCTGTATTGGAAGGTGGAGATAATTGTTTTGCAGTTTCATACTCATACAGCAAATAAAGGTTATTAAAACCATAAAAATACAGGATGGTACAAAGCTTTTTCTAAAAATGTACATCTGTCTTTCATATTATAAATAAGAAATGGCATAAATTTGTGTATTTAACCATCAATATTCATATGCTTAAATGATGTATTACTGGGTAAAAACATCCAGGGTTGTACAGACAGATTAAAAGCACATTATTTCAGGATACAGTGTTGGATTATTAAGCACTTCTATATTATACAACATAGAAAAAAGAGCAAAAATAAAATTACAAGATATATTTAATTATTTTGCATTAATCTTGATCAGCCCTTAATATCCTTTTTTTCCACACAACTTTATTTTACTGATTAATGTGCTTGGCCATTCTCCGAACTAAATCGGTAAGGTCTACTTTATGTTTAGTATTATACTGTCGGTATGTTAGAATTTACATTTTTAATTTATTAAATGACCTGCCTTTAACAGGCCACTTTTAGTTCTTTTCCTCATACTGTGTTTTAATGTTTCAAAATGATGCAGTTAATTGCTCTTCAGGGAGAATATATATATATATGTAACCAGAAGTTATTTAACTGACATGTATTAAGAGCATGTTAATGGAAATAAAAAAAAAATGTGCTTCTAAATCATAGCCTCAAGGAACACTGAGAATTGAATTCCCTTATGAAATGAATGCCGCATTGGAATAATCTATTCACTTTCTTTTTTTGAATATGAAGCCAATTCAAATAAATATTTACTAGATTTTTCTTTTCACCTTTGTCTTTTCCTTCTGTACCCTGAATCCAATAACATAACTCGTATTCCAAAATGCCCTAAAGAGACATTTAGGAGATGAGGCATTCGTAGGTGACAATTGTTTGAATGCTTGGAATACCTGGGTTCACAGAAGGGTGACCTTCGGATAGTATTGCCTCAGTTTCGCACACTGACCATCAGAAAATGTAATTGCATGTATATACAGTAGCACATATGACACTGCTGTTTTCTTACACATCTTAATCACTAATCTTGGCAGAGCTGAAGGAACCAGCAAAGAATGGTAAAAACGTGTTGCTGTAGCAACATTTTCTTTATAACAGCACCCTTATGGAGCCTCTGCAAGTTTGTTTGAACTCTCTGCTGATCTGTATCAAATACTGTTCCTTTTCTCCATTGTAAACCATACGATATGGCATCAAGATAGTTTTTACTGCTCCGGACCCTATGGCGTCAACAATAATGATAACATACAGCTCCATCCTTTGTTTGGAAATATCGCAGTACATCTTGGAATGTAGATAGGCACTTTATCAGAACAGTTCAGAAAGAAAACCATAACACACTGAAGAAAAGGGTTTATCATGGCTTTTGTAATTCTATCTACACCTATTTCAAATAATAAGACCACATACAACCTTCAACTTTTTTCGCCAAAAATAGTTTTGGAAAGCACAGTGATAAATTAGTGCTTATCACACGGAGGAAAGTTAATCTTTTTTCTCCACTTTTCATTTTATGGATGTATAGAACCTTACGCTTTTTGTTGATGAATTCAGGCTAGGTTCTCAGCATTATTGCTATAGTTTCCTCTGTAGGACTGTGCAGAATACTGATTAATCATATTGTTAACATTCTGCAGAGATGTCTTGAGAATTTGCCTCATTCTAGGAACTGATTAATATTTTCTTTGGACCCGAAAGGCAATTATTTAATAAATGACAAAACAGCTGACAAAGTATCAGATTTAAACATTTCTCTGCAAAAAGCTGTATATCTTGCTCTCTTGTCTCATTGAACAACTTGATATTTTAATATGGTTTTTCACATGTTTCAGGGAAATACTTTTTATATCCACGTCTTTACTCTTCTCATTGAACATGTTGCTAGACTCGTAGGCCAAGTCCAGAAATCTCATGCATAATTCAGATGGAAAATCAGAACAGAAATCTCAAGCTGTGTTTGAAAACTAAACATAAAGGTACAATACAAGCATTTAAAAATTTTCCTCTTAATCCCTTCAGAGCATGAAACTATCTCAACAAGTTTGGTAATCTACATACCAGTGTCTCGCTGCCTGACAGGAAATCAATATTTGTTACCAGGGACAGCAGCGCACTTTGATCATCCTGCCAATTCCCGTTATGCAGGATTCACAGGATTCCCTTCCACACACTTGGCAAGTGTGTCCCAGAACACTGGATATTGGGTTACAGCTTGTATTGCTCTCAAGGGTGGGCTGGGCAGGAGCACTGGACACATCACCTGCTGAGGTGAATAAAAGAAGGACTGTTTGTCTGCACCAGAACACAGAAAGGCTATACACTGGGCATACGCTGGGCTCAAGAGGAGCACGTCTAATTAGTACAAGCACACAGAGCTTTATGTCACAAAAACTACCTAAATCACTAGTTCTGCTTCTCAATTCACAACCCTTCCAGAAAAACTGGAAGAAGAAATGTTCTTTATTTTATCTTGATTTAGGCACAAAGCAAGGCTGCAATGCCTGAGGGTGGCCACACAGCCAAGTATCCGCATTAACTAAGCTAACAGAATTCAGACATCTGACATGAACAGACAAAAGTACATTCACTGCTCCTTAACTCTCCCCAGTCCAATGATATGCTGAAGCTGTGGCAATGTAACCCTATTGAGAGGTATGGATATTGAGTGATCATAACCCTTATACAGTACATGCAGAAATGTCCCTCAAGTCTGTTTGAGAAAACAACAAGGGATATGCCAAAGGATCAAGAAACATCAATAACATAAGCAATGCCTCTTTATTTTCCATACATCTGGGATTTCTTTTCTAAAATCAGAAAGTGTAAACCACAGATTTTCAGCTTCCATTGGAATTAGGACATGGATCCTGTTAGCCAGTTGTGAGCACTCTGAAGTATCCATCCCAACACGCAAAGTGTGTTTCAACCACCAGCCTTGCCTTCATTCTCCTGTATACCTCCCAGGCAAAGCAACAGATGCTCAGATATTGCGGGAACTTTAAGAGTTGAAAGGCAGCTGCAATAAGCAGATGAAAATAACTTTGTCCCTGCGTGAGACATTAACATGGCATTCATGAAGGCTGGTTTTGATTCTGTTCTTTGGTAACCTAAACCGACAAATGCCAATAACGCTCAGAACTTAGAAATTCAAACCCAACATGTTATGAGGTCCCATCTACAAATGGTGTGTGTGAACATACTGGCACCTTCTTAAGCGTGATTTATTGCCCTGCAGTCTTGCTCATAAAGGAAAAAAAACGTTATTGTCTCATAAAACTAAATTTTAGTGTCAGAAGATGGCAGGAGCAGGTCATAAGAAGAATAACAGCTGTTAGACCCAAAGAAATTAGCCAGTTTACCATGCTGGCTGGGGTCGATAGCGTGATAGTACCGTACCAACATCTTCACCCACGACAGCTGTTTCATGAATAGGAACTTTTTCACCTGCCAAGAACAACATCACTGTTAAATGCTATTTATTCTAACTGGATTACCATAACAGACATGACAGGCCATGTCCCAGTTTCAGGGGAAAAATGTATGGGTGTTTAAAAAAAGAAATGCTTAATAGTCACGACAATATATACTCACACTAAAAGGGTTATTACACATCTAGGATTTCTTTGTCGAAGCTGAATTTTCATTTGTTATAATCATTCTTCCTTTTCTTCCTTGTTTATAAAGCATTACAGGAATTTGAAAATGAATGATTTCAGTGAAATACTTAAAACAATAACAGATCCATGACTGAGTAGGCCTTTCATTAACAATGTGATACATTCCTTTTCTTTTTAATTTAATCTACATGCTTGTTGTGCTTGGTCCCATCACAGTAAATTAAGTAATTCAAAAACAGTAAAATGAATCACGTTGAAGTGAAATATTTCACAATATGTTATTTTAATCCCTTTTGTGGGTGGTGCTGTTGGGCAATTCCTCTTTTGAAAGACTCAACCCATTCTGGATTGAACACAAGAAGGTGGCATTTTGTTTCGTTTAATACATCAGCAGATTTATCTGTGAATATCACTTAAAAAAATTGTGAAACTTTTTTTCAATTCTTTTTCTAACTTTTTGCAATGATCAGTTCCAAAATCAGTACCTGAGATAATTAAGGACTACATGCTGGACAAAACTGAAAACACATTTTATTCTCACAAGTACAAGCTCAATTATACCTGTTCAACTTAATATTTATTAAGAGTATAAGGGGATATTTTACACACAGGGTGAAAGCAGGTATTAGTTATTGTGTAAAAACAACCCTATTTACAGTATCTAACTCATTTTAACATACAAGCAGAAATAGGTAAAACAATTATCTGAACAGCACAGTACTGCATAACTTTCCATTACTACCTGCCTTATAAGACAGTCTGTGTCAATATTGCCTCATCCATGAATATCATTTTCAACTGCAGATTGCACTGCGGGAGTTCCTGAAGCTTGTCACAGTAAGAAAATTGCTCTCCCAAAGGCACAGTGACAGAAAAAAAACCTTGCAAATTGTCCTACCACCAATCTCTTCAGGTTCTCTTCTCTGTATACATTTCCATACTCTCTTCAACCAATAAAGGAACTGTTTCTTTGTGGCTCAGTCAACATATCAGGGCGGAGCAGTGGCTCTGTGGCTAAGGATCTGCACCTGTGACTGGAAGGTTGCTGGTTCAAATCCTGTAGCTGGCAGAGGAATCCTACTCTGTTGGGCCCCTAAGCAAGGCCCTTAACCCTAACTGCTCCAGGGGTGCCATACAATGGCTGACCCTGTGCTCTGACCCCAAGCTTCTCTCCCT